CAGCTGAGCAGCCCCAGCTCTCCCAGCCTTTCCTCACAGGCAGATGCTCCAGCCCCTTCAGCATCTCAGTGCCCAGGGATGGACTCTCCAGTAGAAGTTCAGCAGCTGCCGAAAAACCCTTATTGTTTTTCTGTTTCAAAACATTAGAAAGTTGATTTTTTTTTCAGTCTTGGATTTGCTTTTTATTTGCCACTGTTGGGAATAAAATGTGCTCCTCTTATTTCATTACAGAGTTCTGGGAACAGGCAGTGATTAAACTCAAGACACTTCTCATTCAGACTTTTTGACCATCCTGCCTGAACACATTTGATGTGGACTTGACTCCCAGCCCCGGTGGGGACTGGACTGTGTGGTTGGGGATTTTTCATCTGCTGCTTTCCCAGGAATGTGTGACTGTTCTGTGGGTACCTGAGAAAAGCACCTGTCACTAGAGGATGATGAAGTGCCCCTTGTTGCAGGTGCCTTGGTGGGCACCTCATGGTTAGTGTCCAGCAGAGGAGCCCATCCTGGTGCAGAACTCACCTGCATCTTTATGGTACAAGCCAGCTTCACTCTTCTTATAAATGTGGAAATATAAATGTTTCACCTTGTTTTTATGAAGGAAATGCAATGAGATTTGGGTATGAGCGTGGCACTTCATGTGATTTGATGAAATGAACTTCTTTTTTTGCTGTGCTCATGTTGTTTTGACAAATGTCAATAAACCAGTTTTCAGAGAAGCCTGGCACGTGTCCTAGGGAAAGGGCTTTACCTGCAGGGTGTGTTAGAGGGAAACAACATCTCCACTGCTTCATGAACCTGAGAGAAGGTCTCATTCCTCACCAGCTGAAGGTTTGGAAGCCTGGCCTGGCATTTTGACACCAGCACCTTTTCCTACCTTCTTCTAAATAGGATGTACTTGAGTGGCTACTATGTTGGTGGAACCTTGTCTTGGAGAGGTGTGCTTGTAGCTGAGCACCTAAACTAGCTGGGCAAAGTAGGGAGAAGCTTTGCACAGGTGACTGAAGGTGTGATCTGCAGCCTGAGAGGGCAGGAGCTCTGGTCTACACAGCTCTTGGTATGCTGGAATTTTTCTGGAGGTCTCTCTTGGCTGCTGGGGAGGCAGGTGGTGCAACACAAGGTGAGTTTATGATACTTCACTGACTTCTAAAGCAGGTTTGTGCAAAGAAACCCCAGTGGAGCTTTGAGGTGCTTTTTAATGAGCTTTGAGTGATCAACAAAGAAGCCACCAGGAACTTCACATGATGTGAAAAGTTGCAACAAGGAGAAACCTTCATTCTCTTTCTTAAGGGCAGACACAGACTGCACGTTTATCTACAAGAAGTGGAGCTCTTGAGCAGCTTGGTGTCCTCTTAAGTGCTGTCATTTATAGTGGGACTTCTAGGCTGGGAGGGACCTTTTATAGGGGCATGTAGCCATGGGGCAGAAGGTGATTGCTTTAGACTGGAGAGAGTTGGGTTGGATGTTGGGAAATTTATTTGGTGTCAGGGTGGTGAGAGCCTGGCCCAGGTTGCCCAGGGAAGCTGTGGCTGTCCCATCCCTGGCAGTGTTGAAGGGCAGGTTGGGTGGGGCTTGGAGCAACCTGGGCTGGTGGGAGGTGTCCCTGCCCATGCAGGGGGTTGGATCTGGATGGTCTTGAAGGTCCCTTCCAACCCAAACCAGTCTGTGAGATGTCCTAGTGAGCCTGCTGAGTTGCCTTCGGGTAGGACCTTTGTTGTGTTTGGTCTCTGATCAGCTGAGCAGCCCCAGCTCTCCCAGCCTTTCCTCACAGGCAGATGCTCCAGCCCCTTCAGCATCTCAGTGCCCAGGGATGGACTCTCCAGTAGAAGTTCAGCAGCTGCAGAAAAACCCTTATTGTTTTTCTGTTTCAAAACATTAGAAAGTTGATTTTTTTTTCAGTCTTGGATTTGCTTTTTATTTGCCACTGTTGGGAATAAAATGTGCTCCTCTTATTTCATTACAGAGTTCTGGGAACAGGCAGTGATTAAACTGAAGACACTTCTCATTCAGACTTTTTGACCATCCTGCCTGAACACATTTGATGTGGACTTGACTCCCAGCCCCGGTGGGGACTGGACTGTGTGGTTGGGGATTTTTCATCTGCTGCTTTCCCAGGAATGTGTGACTGTTCTGTGGGTACCTGAGAAAAGCACCTGTCACTAGAGGATGATGAAGTGCCCCTTGTTGCAGGTGCCTTGGTGGGCATCTCATGGTTAGTGTCCAGCAGAGGAGCCCATCCTGGTGCAGAACTCACCTGCATCTTTATGGTACAAGCCAGCTTCACTCTTCTTATAAATGTGGAAATATAAATGTTTCACCTTGTTTTTATGAAGGAAATGCAATGAGATTTGGATATGAGCGTGGCACTTCATGTGATTTGATGAAATGAACTTCTTTTTTTGCTGTGCTCATGTTGTTTTGACAAATGTCAATAAACCAGTTTTCAGAGAAGCCTGGCACGTGTCCTAGGGAAAGGGCTTTACCTGCAGGGTGTGTTAGAGGGAAACAACATCTCCACTGCTTCATGAACCTGAGAGAAGGTCTCATTCCTCACCAGCTGAAGGTTTGGAAGCCTGGCCTGGCATTTTGACACCAGCACCTTTTCCTACCTTCTTCTAAATAGGATGTACTTGAGTGGCTACTATGTTGGTGGAACCTTGTCTTGGAGAGGTGTGCTTGTAGCTGAGCACCTAAACTAGCTGGGCAAAGTAGGGAGAAGCTTTGCACAGGTGACTGAAGGTGTGATCTGCAGCCTGAGAGGGCAGGAGCTCTGGTCTACACAGCTCTTGGTATGCTGGAATTTTTCTGGAGGTCTCTCTTGGCTGCTGGGGAGGCAGGTGGTGCAACACAAGGTGAGTTTATGATACTTCACTGACTTCTAAAGCAGGTTTGTGCAAAGAAACCCCAGTGGAGCTTTGAGGTGCTTTTTAATGAGCTTTGAGTGATCAACAAAGAAGCCACCAGGAACTTCACATGATGTGAAAAGTTGCAACAAGGAGAAACCTTCATTCTCTTTCTTAAGGGCAGACACAGACTGCACGTTTATCTACAAGAAGTGGAGCTCTTGAGCAGCTTGGTGTCCTCTTAAGTGCTGTCATTTATAGTGGGACTTCTAGGCTGGGAGGGACCTTTTATAGGGGCATGTAGCCATGGGGCAGAAGGTGATTGCTTTAGACTGGAGAGAGTTGGGTTGGATGTTGGGAAATTTATTTGGTGTCAGGGTGGTGAGAGCCTGGCCCAGGTTGCCCAGGGAAGCTGTGGCTGGCCCATCCCTGGCAGTGTTGAAGGGCAGGTTGGATGGGGCTTGGAGCAACCTGGGCTGGTGGGAGGTGTCCCTGCCCATGCAGGGGGTTGGATCTGGATGATCTTGAAGGTCCCTTCCAACCCAAACCAGTCTGTGAGATGTCCTAGTGAGCCTGCTGAGTTGCCTTCGGGTAGGACCTTTGTTGTGTTTGGTCTCTGATCTTGGTAAGACATTTGAATAAAAACCACAAGGCTCAGTGGCTTCACAGCTTTCTGGTGTAGCAATAACAGCTGGAAGGAACAGCACTGGGTGATCCAAGGCAACTGAGCTGGGCAGGGGGTGAGGTGCTGCTGAGCATGAGTGTCCCAGGCTGTCCCACCTGGCTGCGGGGAGCAGGGCAGTGGCAGCGTCCCCGGGGTGGCACACAGAGCAGCTGCTGGGAGACTTGCTTGTCCTGACAGATTTAAAAGAGGGTCTGTGTGTTCCAGGCTATGCTGTGCCAAATTTGTTGCCCTTTGTTTCACTAAGCCTCTGGGCTGGTGGAGTGAAAAGCTGCAGAGGTGGTTTTTCATAACTGACTGGCGGGGAGGGGGGGTCTGGGTGCACACACGCCAGCAATCCTTGAATCCTTGCCTCCCTGCTCTGGGGTCCTGAGGGTGGCCAACTGCAAAACTCTTCAGCTCAAACTGCAGACACTGGCTTAGGAGTTCTGAGTTGAATGGATGACCTGAGAGCTGGAGCAGCTCTGCTCTGGAGCCAGGAAGGGAGAGAGCTAGGGTGTTCAGCCTGGAGAAGAGAAGGCTCCAGGGAGACCTTAGAGCAGCTTCCAGTGCCTGAAGGGGCTCCAGGAAAGCTGGGGAGGGACTTGGGACAAGGACAGGGAGGGAGAGGACAAGGGGGATGGATTAAAACTGGCAGAGGGGAGACTGAGGTTGGACATGAGGAGGAAATTGTGGAGTGTGAGGGGGGTGAGAGCCTGGCCCAGGGTGCCCAGGGAAGCTGTGGCTGCCCCATCCCTGGCAGTGTTGAAGGGCAGGGTGGGTGGGGCTTGGAGCAACCTGGGCTGGTGGGAGGTGTCCCTGACCATGCAGCGGAGGGGTGGCTCTGGGTGATCTTGAAGGTCCCTTCCAACCCAAACCATTCCATGAATTTATCACACTTGGCAGATTTTGTCAGGAATTTGGGATGCAATTCTTCTCTATTTGATGAGTGAAATCCCTCCCTTTGGGGTTGTGTGGCCAAACGTCTTTCCTTCCCTCAATCCGGGCACCAGTTGGAGCAGCAGGGCTCAAAGCTAAGTAGGTGTCCTAGGAACACATACAAGGCCTTTTTGTGCTGCCCAGAGGTTTCCACAAGAAGCTTTAAGAAGCAGAGGCTGCTCTTTGCAAGGCTGCAGTGTCTGCCCTGAGCCCTTGGCCACCGTTTCCCAGCTGCACCCTTCATGCATGGGAGCAACTCCCTGATAAATATTGGGTCCCTTCCTCAGACCTGGGGCTGGGTGGTTCAGAGCTGACGAAGGTGCCTTCTTGTTTAACACTCTTGAAAGGGAGAGAGCAGCCAAATTGTCCCCCCTCCTTGTCCTCCAGGGCTTGGCAGGGGGCTGCATGTTTTGAGTGCATTTGGCAGAGTTTTGGTGTTCTGACTCAGCTAAATGGGAACAAAGGGAGGATGGTGAAGCCTTCTTTTATTCCATAATCCTGTTTGTTTTTCTGGAAACCAGCTATAGCCTCGGAATCACTGACTCAATTTTTGGATCCTATTCTCATGACAAAGCGGCTGTCTGGTTTAAAACAAGCCCGTTATAAAAAGGGTGCCTGGGATCCTGGCTGTTTGTAACAGCTTCTGACATTCCTCCAGCACTGAGGAGCTTGGCTGGAACAGAAAATGTCCAGAGCTGGGACCAAGGTAAGTTGATTTGCAGACTCTTCAGGATTGTGGCTTTGAGTACGGAATTGATTCAGGGGTAAGTCGTGGAGGAACTCTGGTTTCTTTTCCCCCTCTGTTGGTCTGTTGGCAAGAGGAGGTGCTTGTAATCCCTCCTCACATGGAGGGAAGGTGGAGCTGAGCCCTCCCTAGTCTTTTTCCCAGATCTTGGCTCTTTCTTCTAGGTGTGGGCTCTGCCAAAGGAGGGAGCTGAAGACAGTGACTGGTGAGGGGATACTTGAAAATGCATCAGGGTCTCTGGGGAGACCTCATAGTGGCCTTCCACTACCTGAAGGAGCTCCAGGAAATCTGGGGAGGGACTTTGGACAAGGGTTTGGAGTGAGAGGACAAGGGGGAATGGATTAAAGGGGCTTTGTGCTGGAGTGAGACGTGAGGAGTAAGATGGGACTGAAACAAAGCGACGAATCGTAGGATCATGGAATGGTTGGGGTTGGAAGGGACCTTTCTTCACAGCAGAGCTGCACCAGCCCTTGGATCATCAGAGGACTAGCAACTGCATCCACCAGCTTCCCTCAGGACCAGTGGATGGATCTCATCAGGTCCTATAGACTTGTACACCTGCTGGTAGCAGGGAGGTTGGAACCTGATGATCTTTAAGGTCCCTTCCGACCTTCACCATTCTATGCTGGACCCTCACTGTATGGCCAGGAGTGGGACTGCAGATCAGAAGAGGCTGCTGAGCTTGGGGAGTGAGGCTGAAGAAGGGGAGAGCTCCTCAGCTGTCCCAGGGGGAGGGTAGTGGCTGATGCATCCCTGTGTCTGGCCCTGCAGAGGGTGTCACAGGGGTGCTGTGGCTTCCTTCACCACTGGCTTCAAGAAGAGGATGACTGGTGGTGAGTGACTGCTGAGCCTTGGTGAGCAGGGCTGGCAGGGCTGTCTCTGGGCTCACACTGGTAGATGTTTCAGGTGATACCTCTAGGGACAAAGAGCCAGGATCTGTAAGACAACAGCAGGGTTGTGGCTGACCAGCATGGTTAACTGCACCCAGTGGCAGCAGGGTGGGGAAAACTGGAGCTGGGGCTTTTTAGTGCACACCCTTTGCAACATTTATTCACTTGCTGGAAAGATGGTAGTGATCTCCCAGCTCTCCATGGCACTGGAGATGGGAAGAGCTTGCTCAGGAAGGAGGGATGTGGGGACAAGTGGCTTGGATGTGCTGACTGCTCTGTAGTGGGACCTGAGTCTCTTGAAAGTAAAAAGAAAATGTGAAGGAAACCACATTGTCCTAAGACCTGTCAATGCCATAAACCCCAGGATATAAATCCTCTGTCATGATGAGTCCAACTCCCCAGAAACCTGACCAGGCTGGTGGGACACCCTGACCAACCAGCTGTAGGAAACTGGCTGAATTATTTTTTTAAGACAAAGTGAATGGGGAAAAAAGAGTCCCAAGTAGGTCATGCTGGGTTTGAGTCTGTCTCCTGCATTGAAACTGGGGCAACCAGCAGTGGTTCTAACAGCAGTGATGTGAGATCAGTAGAAGCAGTCAAAGGTAAAGTGCAACCAGGTAGGAGCAGAAGGTGATTTGTGTGGCTTAATCCTCAAGCTGTGGAAAAATGATGGGGGAAATGGATTGTAGAGCTCTGTGTGTTAGATGTTTGAATCATTGTGGCCAGAAAAATTTTCCCTGGAGCATCTGAGGCCACCTGAGATGCTATTAAATAAGCTGGCAGCAGGTATGGGGCTGAGGCCATGGTGGAAGGCTGGAGAAGGTGGAATGGTGTCTGGAGCATGCATGGTATTGGAGCTGTCAACCTGGGCATCTTTCTTGGCAAGTGGGGTGATGTCCAGCTCGTGGCATTGACTTTGGAGAAAGCAAACTGTGAACTGGTAGAATGGGGAGCAAGGAGAGCGGTTGTGGGACTAGAAGACTCAGAGCCCAGGGGGCAAATGGCATCAAAGCAAAAGTGGAGTGGGCAGCAGGGCCAGGGAGGGGATCCTGCCCCTCTGCTCTCCTGAGAACCCACCTGGAGCTCTGTGTCCAGGTTTGGAGCCCCCAACACAAGAAGGACATGGAGCTGTTGAAGAGAATCCAGAGGAGGCCACGGAGATGCTGGGAGGGCTGGAGCAGCTCTGCTCTGGAGCCAGGCTGGGAGAGTTGGGGTGTTCAGCCTGGAGAAGAGAAGGCTCCAGGGAGACCTTAGAGCAGCTTCCAGTGCCTGAAGGGGCTCCAGGAAAGCTGGGGAGGGACTTGGGACAAGGGCTTGTGGTGACAGAATGAGGTGCAATGGCCCTAAACTAGAGCAGGGCAGATTCAGACTGGGTGTCAGGAAGAAGCTCTTGACACTGAGGGTGGTGAAGCTCTGGCACAGGCTGCCCAGAGAGGTGGTGGAGGCTCCATCCCTGGAGACATCCCAGGTCAGGCTTGAGGAGGCTCTGAGCAACCTGATCTGGTTAAAAATGTCCCTGTGCACTGCAGGGGGGCTGGACTAGATGATCTTTAAAGTCCCTTCCTACCCCCCACGTTCCATGATTCTATGATAAGACATGTCCCAGGATGGAAGAGATGTCACCACCCCCTCAGCAGCACTCAGTGAGCCAGTGCAGGTGATAAATACAGATCTAGAGAAGGGGGGTGGGAAATGTTCTATTTGTGTCTTGCTGCAAAGAGGACAAGGGGCTTCACCAAGGGACCTTTGGGTTGTACTGGGACAGAAGTGGGTGCTGGGCAGGCCAAGGAGATGGTGGCAACACAGGAGCTGGTGGGGCTAGAGTGGTGAAATCAGCTCCCAGGATGGGTTGGGATGCAGAAGATTCTGCTCGATGCCTTTTTGCCACTTGAAAGGCTCTATTTCCAGACCCCTCACGGCGTGGTGTGGCCAGGAGGTGGGTGCAGGTGCCTGAGGGATGGAGGAACCCCCCCCTGCTTCCCTTCCTCTGCTCTCCTTCTCAGGTCACCTTCTACGAAGACAAGAACTTCCTGGGCCGTTGCTATGAGTGTGATGGGGACTGCCCTGATTTCCACACCTACCTGAGTCGCTGCAACTCCATCCGGGTGGATGGAGGCACCTGGGTGGCCTATGAGAGGCCCAACTATTCCGGGAACATGTACGTGCTGAGCCACGGGGAATACCCCGACTACCACCACTGGATGGGCCTCAACGACCGCCTCAGCTCCTGCAAAGCCGTCCAGATTGTAAGTGTGAGCTCCTTCCCCATCTTGCACGGGCACACCCACCGTGAAAGGGGGTTTTCAGGGGGTGGGTGGGTGGCCCCATCTTCCTGGGAGCTTCCCTGAAGAAGGAGGGAACTCCCAAAAGGGGGTTGGTTCCCACCGTCCTGCTCTGGGAATGCCAAGGTGTTTGGCGAGGGGAGAGGGGGAATCTCTTCCCACTCTTCCCTGCAGGTGCTTTGTGGGTGAGTTTCCACAGGAACAGCAGTACATTTTATCTGCCTGTTCCTCCAGGGACTTCAGTGTCCGGGCAGGTCACCCTGAGTTTTGTCTCTCCCCTGTTGTGCTGCCAACTGATCCCAATCTGATGGTGGGGGGTCCAGTCTGGGAACAGTGGGGGCAGAAAGAGGGGCAGTTTGTTTGCCTCTCTAGCAAGTTAGGGCTCCTTTCTGCTACAGGGAACCAAATGTCACTGTCACCAAGCCCCTCTGGGCATGGGGAGGACGTGACCAGGGGTGGGAGGGATGCCTGAAGCTTTCCTTGGAGCAGCTTGGGGGCTTTCCTGGTGTTGGGGGAGCACAGGGCAGTGCCTGGAGCTGTGCTCAGCCCCTCCTAACTGATGCTGGGGAGATGTTTCTGCAGCCTCCAGCAGCCCCGGGCCTCCCACCAGCAGGAAACAGGATGGAAGCAGGTTGGCAGCCTTCACACCCTGTGGATGTGCTGTGGGGGAGAAAGGAAACAGAAGGAGCAATCCCTTTGGGAAGCTGGTGGGGGACAAACACCCTTGAAAGCTGGCAGGCCTGGTGGGTGGGGATGGGCTGTGGCTTGGCAGCAGGGCTTGGGGATCTGTGGTGGGGATCTGTGCTGACCCAAGTAGCACAGCCACGGGTTCCCACTGCGTGGAGTGAGTCTCACAGCTGAGAAGGAGTTTTGCCTTCATGTCTGGATGTCTGATGCCACTTTGAGCCTGTTTTGGCTTGGAACGAGGTCTAAATCCCTTTTGGCCAGGCAGGGAGAGCTTCCAGCTGGTTCAGAGCTCTGGCATGAGAGATGGAGGGAAAACACGCAGGACAGGGAACAGCAGCACAGCTTCTTCCAGGGGGATGAAACGCAGAGACCTTAACCTGCTTGTCCACCTGGTGCTTCCCCTGCTGCTCCTGGGGAGGCTGCACAAGGCAGAGGGCAGGGCAGAACATCCCGGAGAAGCTGCAGCAGATCCCAGAGACCCCTCAGAGCTGGGCTGGGAGCCACGTCCAGGGCAGCTGCAGCTTCCAGCCGTGGCAGCGCCCGCAGGCAACGCAGCCCTTCAAATCCCAGCGGGAAACAGCGGCGCTGCCTTCCTGGGAATCCACACCGGCTGGGGTCAGCAGCTCATTAAACTCCTGGTTGCCCGGAGGAGCAGGGAACGGAGATGGGGGGGGTCCAGGCTCTGCTTCTGGTGCTCACAGCGAGTGGCTGAAGGGCTGGAGGCAGAGGGTGGCTGGGATGGAGGGCTCAGCACTTGCTGGCTTGGCTTTAACCCTCCCTGCAGCCTTTGGAGGGTCACGGAGGTGATCTGAGATCTGGAGATGGGCTGGGAGAGTTGGGGTGTTCAGCCTGGAGAAGAGAAGGCTCCAGGGAGACCTTAGAGCAGCTTCCAGTGCCTGAAGGGGCTCCAGGAAAGCTGGGGAGGGACTTGGGACAAGGGCAGGGAGGGAGAGGACAAGGGGGAAGGGATGAAAACTGGCAGAGGGAGATTGAGGTGAGACATGAGGAGGGAATTGTGGAGTGTGAGGGTGGTGAGAGCCTGGCCCAGGTTGCCCAGGGAAGCTGTGGCTGCCCCATCCCTGGCAGTGTTGAAGGGCAGGTTGGATGGGGCTTGGAGCAGCCTGGGCTGGTGGGAGGTGTCCCTGCCCATGCAGGGGGTTGGAGCTGGATGATCTTGAAGGTCCCTTCCAACCCAAACCAGTCTGGGATTCTGACTCATCCCTGCAAAACCAAGGAGGGGATTTGAGCAGGGACTGCTCTGCTCTCTCTTGCTGCTTTCGTGTCCTCTTCGCATGGGATGCCTGGCCAAGAGTTTCCCTCCCTGCTGCCCTTCTGGGAGCTGCCAGGAGCTGCTCAGCCCCGTTCCGGTGTGCTGGGGTGTGGTGCTTTGTGCCTGATGCGAGTCTGGCTGTGCCTCAGCTCTGCTCCCTCCTGCTGGTGACCACGGGGGCTGGGAACTCCCGCTGCCTCCCCCCAGCATCCTCTCCCCTCTCTCCAGCCAGGTGGAAGCCGGGGCCACATCCAGGTGTTTGAGAAGGGCGACTTCGGCGGCAAGATGTTCGAAGCCACCGAAGACTGCCCTTCGGTCATGGAGGAGTGGCACATGCGTGAGATCCATGCCTGCAGGGTGCTGGAAGGGGTCTGGGTTTTCTACGAGCACCCCAATTACCGGGGCAGGCAGTACCTGCTGCCCAAGGGCGAGTACCGCAAACCCGTGGAGTGGGGAGCGGCCAGTCCCGCCGTCCAGTCCTTCCGCAGCATCGCCGAGTGAGGCAGCCCCTGCTGGGGCAGCTGGACACACTGCAATAAAGCAACTGAGTCACTCAGCTCGCCCAGTCCTAGCTTCTTCTCGGGGGGAGGGGGTCTGCCTGTGGTTGCTCCTGCCCTGGAGGAGCTGGTGTGGAGCTGAGAGATCTTCGAAGCGAGACCTGGAGAGTTGGGAAGGGAGAAACGTGGTGGAGTTTTGTATCTGGGGAAGAACAAGCCCATGGAGCAGGACAGGTTGGGGCTGAGCTGCTGGAGAGCAGGGTAGGGGAAAGGGACCTGGGGGTGCTGGTGGGCAGGAGGATGAGCATGACCAGCAATGTGCCCTGGTGGCCAAGAAGGCCAATGGCATCTGGG